GGATTTAAAAGCGAGGGCAAGGATCTTGAATTTAATCAGCAGGGGTACGGGAAGCCATCAGAAACAGAATGTTGGTACAACCGCCCATGTGGAATCAAACAGTAATATTTGAGACCTAAATCATTCAGACAGAACTATTTATGTAATTCTAATTTATCATGGCCTTCCTTATTGGAATTTTGCTCTCGATATTTTCATGTTCAGATATTCTCACATTTTGTTAAATTTCCTAATTTGATATATTAACATTTTGTTCAAGTCTAATATTTGAAAGAGAATTTAAGTGAAAACCTATTAATTTCAGAGGCACTTGGCACACGTATTGACACGTGGAAATTACATGTGATATTTGTTGAGATTGAAACAAATTTGGATGAATGTGATGAAAAAATCTCTGTGGAATCTTCTCTAGGGTGTGTAAAATTAAATTCCCACATTAAGAAACTGATATTCTAGTGAATGAGATGCTTACAGTTGCATGAAATATACATATATATCAGCAGTGAAATATGTCACGTACATCATACAATAAAATGTATGATGTACAGTTGCTTCTTGGCTGAACTCAGTTTAACAGCTTTCCAGCTTAATTCAACCAAAAGATCTGAACCAAGATAATAATTTGCAAACTAGTACCCAAATTCCCCAATATCTCAGCAATGCCAATGGTGACATTAAGACAGCTTCAAGTAAGGCCATTATGATGAAGTCAGGTGGGGGTGGCAGAATAAAACTATGGGCAGTTCCTTATTATTTTCTGGCCTCAACAGCAATTAACAATGATGTGATAATTTTCAATGGTGATAATCGGAACATCACATCTCTCAATTTTTATCCAGTAGACACCATACATTAAAAATGCTTGTATACAGTATTTATTGTATGTGTAAAGTAAAATCACTCACCCTGACATGATAATACTGTACAATAGCTTCTCTGAGAAGCTTATTTTATTGTAGTCTCAGGCAAATCTAATCATAATAAAAGATCTTCAAATCTAACATCCATTGCATCTTAAAAAAAAACTGTCTTAAATTGGGAATCACAGTCTATTCAGTATCAAGACACAAAGAACCCATATCATAGCTGCCAGGAGAACTCACTCGAGAATGGTCTTTTAATAGCTATGTTTTGGATGAAAGAGTTGTATTCTAGTTGGTCTTAAAATAGACTGCAGCAAGATTCAGTTGTAAAGGACAAATGTCTTACAAAGTAAATCTGGTGGGATTATAAGTACAGAAAAGACAAATTGTACTTGGCTAGTTTGTAACCTCTTCAATCCCTCATCTATCTTGAGGCAAACCTAGTTCAGAAAATGGTGCCAAATTCAGTTTGCACTTGAATTTATGTACACAGGGGACAGACTCAAACAATAGCAATGGAGTCTAATCATTTTCAATATTCTCAAATTGAATTTATTATGTTAGATTTCTGGTTTGTGAAATGGGTTGCCAAGCATTTTTTTGACTTTACTGACTTGCGATTTGCAAGCTGGGAACTTCCAGTTCAGCAGTCTTACTAAACTTGCACAACGTTGGGGTGTGAAATGTAATAAATGTAACAGGATTCGCGAGTTGTAACTCTAAATTATAAATAGCAACTGCTGATGGCAACCAGACATTTGATATACTCATTAGAAGGAACTCTGCTCTGGAAGCAGATCATGTTATTGACTCTAGTAAGAAACTTATATATTTTATCATCAATAATTTCAACATCAAAATTCAATATCCATCAGGTGTCAGCTTGAGTTTCACCTGTTGGTCAGAAGGTTGTGGTTTATGCCCCATTTCCGGACTTTGAGCTTATAGTCTTTTGGCTAATATTCAATGTGGGAGGGCTGCATTGTCAGAGATGTTGTCCTTCAGGTGAGATATTAAACAAAGGTACTTGATGAGTACTTAAGGCGGATGTTATAGATCATGTACTAATCAAAAGAAGAAGGTTGTTTCACTCCATGATCCAGTCAATGATTGCTGGCCTGGATATTTGATAATTAAATCATGACTGTTCACAGCAGCTTGCTGTGTGTAAAATAGATCAATCCTTGCATTTAATACAACGCCTTATCAGGTCGTTGAGATGTCTCAACGTATTTCAGAGAAAATACTGTATAGTGTTTTGACTATGCATATTTTGGGTGAAACAAAATACAAAACATTACGTACAGTAATGTCCCACAAACAGCCATAAAATACATTACCAATTTTATTTTGGGGGATTGTTGGCCAGGACACTGGGAGAAACTCTCTTCTCTTTTCAAAAGTGCCTTGGGATTTTTAACATTTATCTGAACAGGCAGACAGCACCTCGCTTTAATATCTCATCTGAACAATGGCACCTACAACAATACAATACCTCCCCAACACTGCATTGGAATGCCATCTTAGACTGTGTAACTCCAAGTCCCGATGTGAAGCTTCAACCTGTATCCTTCTGACTCAGAGGAGAGAGTGCTACCACTGAGCCAGGCTGACACACTCGTTTCTTTGTTTGCAAATCAGTCTACACTTGACAGTAATCAATTGCACCAATAATTATAATTCCATGTATAGAAAATTGGAAATTATTTTAGGAAGATTTGGTAGAGAAGTAGACTGAACATCTGGTGTACTGTACCATAGAATGCAAGGGTGCAGAATTCTTATGTGACCATTTCCAATCTCTGAGAAAGTCTGTGTATTTGGTATTTCTCCATGGGGTCTAACTGGAGGAAGGCATCTGTACCATTCTTAATTACATTTAATAGAATACAATGGCAAGGATTAAAGATCAAATTCCTCATCTATCATCCAAGGAAGGTTTGTACTGTGGTGAGACTAATGCATGCTAAAGGGAGAAAATCACCTTGTCAAAAACAACAATTAACAACAACAACAATAACTTGCATTTATATAGCGCCCTTTAGATGCGTAGCGTCTCGGAGCACTAAAAACATTGCCAAAATGGTTCATACAACTGCAACATATTTAAAAATCAACCTGTTTACCTCAATCTTCTTGAAAAACAAATACGATCAGACTCTTTTTCAGTCCTTTTATTATATTTATAATGACAGCTAAGCTGATTTAATGAAGCAAAGCTTTTTCACCATGCTTCCTGTTTTAGCTCTATAATCTGCTTGACCATATGCTGTAATATGCTGGTGAAATGGAGAGGTAAAAAGAATCAAAATGTTTTCAAACATTACATTTAAACAGGATAAAATCAGTAAAACATAATAATAATCCTTGCATATTTGGGTATTCAAAACAAAATTTAACATACTTGAGGGAGAGACTTTGGTGGAATGAGTGTCATTTACTCGATATAGCAAGTAGTGGCTTTGTTTACAATTTTACAATTTGGACAACTATTGGCATTATAAGTCTGAAGAAGAAAAACATAAACTTTAGTGTTTTTATAGCACCTTATTATGCTAAAACGTATCTCTTCTCATCAACCGTGCTTCAGCTCCCCTCTCGACTCTCTACCCCCTCTTCGCTCCCTCCCTTCCCTCCCCTCACCCTGACCATTTCCCCCCTGCTCGGGTCCCGACCCAACTGTCCAGTGCCCTGGGACAACCTCCCGACGTGAAAGGCGCTCTATAAATGCAATCTTGTTGTTGTTATTGTTGTGTAAAATATCTCAAAATATTTAACAAGTAATAGTTAAATGTGGTGTCTAATTTTGTAGACAAACATGGCAGCTGATTTGCATGCATCACTGTCCCACAAACAGCCATGATGTGAATGAACAGTTTTTTAGGTTGGGCGACTGTTGGTCAGGACAACTGGGAGGAACACCCTTCTTTCAAATAAGGGATCTTTACCGTCCACCTCAACAGAGAAACAGGGTCTTGGTGTAATGTCTCATCTGAAGGATGGTATCTCCAACAACAGCACACCCACCATCGCTGCATTGGAGTGTTAGCATAGACTATATAAGTTCCATGTTCCTCCGTGGAGCTTGAACACACACCTTTTTTTTGCTTACTCTAAAATTGGCTATAATTGCTATTTATTCTAATGGAAAAACTGCTCAGGAGCAAAGCTTCTGCTTGCTCTGGTGGATTAGGTCAAATTGCTGTCAATGCACATTTAGATATTGAGCACAGAGCAAAATCCAGAGAAAAACAGATAAATGCATAGATGCATCCAGACGCTTACTGCGGTGAGGATAGAAATTAACTTTCTTTTAAAAGCTGTCTTGACAGGTATTATTTTTAGAAAACTATTTGCATTGCTGTAGATTATCCCTTGTTTGTAAATTCCCTTTGCCTCACATAATGTCAATATTTTAAAATTGGGCACAAAGGCAACAATGAAGTCATGCTCAAACTGTACTGACCACATCTGGAGTACTGCACACAGTTCAGAGGAGAGCAATGAAGCTGATCCCCAATGTTAGAAGAACGAACGATAAGGAATGACTAGATAAGCTAGGGATCCTCAGCCATGCAAAAGATAATAATATAATAATAACACTTGCATTTAATATATCGCTTTATGATGTGGCCAAGACATCTCAAAGCACTTCACTGGATTTACTGTAAAATGGTGTGACTGTATTTTGTGGGTGAACACGGCAGCCAATTTCCACACAAACAGCCATGGAGTGAGTGACAATTTTCTTTCTTTTATTTTGGGGGTATTTTTGTCTAGGACACCAGAATAAACTTCTTAAAATCATGCTGTATTAAAATGTTCTGATGGGACCTATATAAGATATTGAAAGGAGTCAAAGTAAATCTAGAACAATATTTTAAAGGAAGCAAAACAAGAATCACAGGTTTACGGCTGTGAAGAGAAAGTTCAATAGAGTGGTAACAACACTACTCATTTACTGTTATTGATGTTGCCAGGAAGTTGAAAATATGTCACTTCATGCTCACGCAGCAAGCCACGTATCTCCTCAGTTCCCAGTATTTTGTTATTTAAGGACAGATTAGGAGTTTAAGACATTCAATTTAGCTTCTGTACATGGTATAACAATAAAGGTGATCTGTACATTTGACTTACATCACTCTCATGACCTTCTCTGAGGTTATAGGTAAGATCGTGATGAATGTCCTCCATGAATCTATGGGAGTATTCCGGGTACAACTCCAGCACCTCACAGAGGCCTTTCAGATTAATACACTGCAGGTCACAATACGTTAGAGCTTTAACATCCGCATTTGTTTTGATAACTTGATCTTTACTTGCAAGATTTGCACCAATTAGATCACCTTTACCTGAAATGCAATCACAAACACAAATCAGCAGAACTCTTGACAAAGAAGGTGTTGAGCAATGTTGCATCAATGCTATATATTATTATCCATTGTTTATATTATTATTATGTTACATATTTTATTATCCATATAAAAAATCAATAGTTCAAACAAGGAATATCATTTGAAACAATAGTAAAATTGTTTTCATCATCATGTATTTTGTGAAGTCATTTGGGACATGTGTTCAGCATGACAGCTGCTGTATTAATACAAGTTATTCTAATTAAAAATACAGTAACGTAAATTCTGCTTATTTGACAAATAGTAATGAATTGCTGAAAGCCAATTTTACAGATACTTTCAGTTTGATTTGGAAGAACAGTGAGAATCTCAGCGGAATGCAATGAAAGGAATATTTAATCAGTTCTTTGGCTTTTCTGTTTTGCTATAAGCAGCATAGACTGAGTTTATAGTCCTATGTTTGGTTAGTTTACTGAGTGGCTGGTGTGTGTGCTAATTCAGTACAGCTGAAATCAGGACTAACTGACTTCATCTCCAGGAATGGTAAAAAAAAAGATTTTTATGGTTTCTTGTCACGTTGAGACGCCTCAACATTTTTTTTACAGTATTGACTCTCAAGTGTAATGACTATTTAATAGATAAATGTAGCGGCCGTACTGCACACAGTAGCATCCAATTTTATCTAGCAGATTGTAGGCGGGACACTGGGAGAAAATCCATTTGCAAATAGTGGATGTCCTCCTGGAAACACGGGACCTTGGTTTTAATGTCTAATCTGAAGGATAGTACCCCTGAAAATACAGAGCGTCCTGAAATATTACTCTGGAGTATAAACTGCAAGTTCAAGTCCTGATGTGGAGCTTAATTCAGAGGTAAAAGTACTACCAAATGAGAGGTGGAACATAATAATATCAACATCTAAAATGAATAAATCTCTGACTCGAGAGTCGGAAACAACGTAAAACTTGTTTTTTTAAAATCTGCTTTCAGTTTACAATATAATACTGAATCAACCTGTGAACTAATTTTGCAATCTGCTGACCTCTCCAGACCTATCAGTCCATGGCAACAGCAATCATTGCTTTACAATTGCAGAGCCTCAGCAGGAGTCTGCAAGAATTCTCAGCACTATTGCCTCCTTCAGCTGAGCCAAGGAATTAAAGGTCAATGAAACCATTTTCAGTCAATGCTGCTCTAATGACTTAACACTGATATATATCCATCTTAAAACGGTTCCATTAGCATCTAAACAAACTAAGAATATTTATATTTATGAACTTAAATGAGAACATTTTCCTTTATAATAGGATCCTAGAGATTCAATTTCACTATAATGAATTGGAAACATGTCTTAAGTTTACTTCACTCTGATTGTGACTATTAGCTTTGTAAAAAAATATGACCACATCACGTTGGAGCTACTATTTTACGCAGGCTGAAATGGCAGTAGTTTGGACGTGTTAACACATTTAATAACTGCTGACACAGAACGTGCTACTAACCATGTGCTAGGCACCCCATCTCTTCTGGTTTATGCTGAGAACAGCATGACTCACAAAATAGAGGATTTGTGACTTTCTCAAGAAATAAGAGCTACAGGGATGAAAATTGTGACATGTGATGTGTTGAAAAGTCTCTCTGCCGATAACTAATGACATTGACTTGCTTATTCCCACCCCCTCAAATCAACTCAACAAAAAGATCAGAATAAGGCTAATATTCCTCTAATCAGCAATCCAATGCCATGATCTAAAGGCTATTAAGTCAAATCTCTGTCATAAAATGGTTTTGTGGCTAATCACTGCCCTGGAGTTGGGAAGGTGATCATACCTACATATCAGTTATGATACCTTTAGTTACCAGCGAGGTGAATTTCAAACATATGTCAATTAAACCTGGCGGTAATTAACACATTACAGGTCATAATTGCCAGCCTGGTTAGTGCACTAAATATTTTACATTATTTAGGATGATGTAGTATGTGCTGATCTCTACTTCGAACCTTCTCCACACACACACCTCTGTTCAGCACCTTGGGACGTCCTCCCGACGTGAAGGGCGCTATACAAATGTAATTTTGTTGTTGTTGTTGTTGTCAGACTCAATGCCTAGAAAATTGCCTGCAGGTTTTTCTAAGCATTTGATTATTTTGACAAAACATGAATATCCCTTTACGTCTATACTATTAAATGAACAAGTTAAATCATTTTAAAATCTGTTGCTCTTTTTTTAAAAAAGTAATTTTTTGTCCCACATCAACTCACAGAAATACATATTTTCCAGCTAAAAATCTCTCTATATTGCTTTAACTGTGGGCTTGATTTGAAAATAATGTTAAGTGCTGGGTAAATCTTCTCTCTTGTATTCTTGCTTTTGAATGGCTTAGTAATAACATTAACAACAACAACAGGATTATATTTGAATAGCGCCTTTCACCTCAGGAGGACATCCCAAGGCGCTGGACAGTGTACAGCATTTGAGACCCGAGCTGGAGTCAGGGGGGAGAAGGGAGGGGAGGGGAAGGGGGGTGACCAATGGCATGGTCGAAGAGGAGGGTTTTGAGCCAGGACTTGAAGGAGGCTGAGGAAGGGGCGAGGTGGAGTGATTGGGGTATGGAATTCCAGAGATTTGCACGTGCACACACACCCACACACAGACACACACACCGGTAGTGTACAAATAGAGAGTTTGCACACATTTTCTGTTTATATAATGTAACCATACAAGGTAATGAACAGATGCAGGTAAGTTTGCATTGAATTTTATAATTCTGAGAAGCCATCCGGCTTGGAGGGCGCTATGTAAATCCAAGTTGTTGTTGTTGTAAAACTGGAATATTTCTAAGTTACTTTTATAGTGCTGCCCAGTGGTGGTGTTTCATTGTTAGAGTGTGTGCACTAACTGCTGTAGGTTAGGGTGGGGCTGGGGGGATGCAGGATATTTGGGGGATCTTGTTATGAATAATGTTGTTTCTATTCTACCCCATGACATAATCGAGTTGCCCACTGCTGGCCCCCAGGAAGAGGCTGAAATTAAGATCAAAATAATAATAAATTGGTCACTCAATCCACAACTGTTTGTGGGACACTGCTGTGTATAACAGTCTGCCGTGTTTTGCCCACAAAATGCAGAGTGAATTCACTTTATAGTATATTCTGTGAAGCGCTTTGGGATGTCTTGAAGACGTGATTAGGCGCTAAATCAAATACAAGGATTATTATTATTACTATTTGAGTTGAACATAACTTAATTTATCTGGTTTGTATTTGAAACTACCTTTATATGCTGTGACCAATCATCAGAATCACTATAAATCTCAATTGGTTAATGTTAGACCGCTATAAGTAGGCAGGCATGAACTAAACTCTGCTATCAATGGGAAGTTTGCTTTGCACATCCCCTATCTGATTTCACAAGGTCATCACGAGCTACTAAAATAAGATTATTTTGGTGCCTGTGCTGAGTAAGCCTGTTACACGGCATTGGACTTGGACCTCGAGAACATCAAGGCAGCTGGCATGTCACAAGTTGTCTTGTAAAGGCCCTCCCACCACAGTGAAGGCACATGCTCACCAGATAGCTGATGAGGAAGCTCTGAGGCTTGGGGTGATAGCTGTTGGAAAGCATTACCTGGAGTCCAAGTTCGTAAGCACACGTTCATACATCCAGCACCTGGAATCCACCTTGATTGGCCGGCAGAGAGGCAAGCAGCTGCTGCTTAAACTTCGCATCTCCAACCGGTGGAACCATCGCTCAATGGGAATGAATGTGTGTCTGATCTGTGGACAGGTAGAGGATGGCAATGCTCTCACATATTTCATGCTGAGCTGTATTGCCAACAGGAAACTCGCAGGGAGTCCCTTGTACCTACCATCCACCTAGTCAGGGCTCAAACCCGCACTCGTCGAGTATCTAATGACCAAGTAGTGACTATCCTCCTTGGGGCGGAGGGAAGAGCCTGAACTGGCTCCAAGGTGACATGCCTGACAATGGAATGTCAGAATTGCCTTCTTTGCCGGTATTCCAGGTCATTGCTGATGAGAGCCCTGGCTCATCGGTAGGACCTGGAAGGGCAGACCAGTCATTGGGGGCAAGGAGTCATCATACTCAGCTCCTGTTAACCCTGCAAGCCAAAGCCCTAACTAGTAGGGTGGTCCTAGCTGGACAAGCAGTGGGAAAGCTTGCCAAAGGGTGCTCTCAATGGCAAGCTAAGTGGTTGTAGCTGCTTAAACTCCAGCAGTACCCCAACGCACATTCTGAGGTTCCCAAGCCTTGGGTCTTGCCAACCTGTGCCTAATACATTCCAGAATTAGGTAAGCAGGATGTGATCCCAAAGGGAGACAATGCCTATTCCAGTCCAACAATCTATCTCTGTGATTTCCATGTGTAAGTGGGATGCATGGAATTCTCAGCTTGGTTTGGATAAGCTTAAGCATCTTGATGGGTTTCCGCATGTGTCAGACACTTGGCTTAATAAAAAAAAAGGTGCTAAAGGGAAATCAAACAGCAGTCAATGATACAGATAATAGGTTGAAAGTATCACAAGTTCAGAAATTCACTCCCCATTGCATAGATATAACTACAGCTGTTTTGTCAATGTTACTTTGAGCTGCACTTTCGATGATATTTGTTCACTCTCTTCAAAAAGAAGCTGGGGAACATTTAGTGCAGAGTACTGACCACCAGTTGAGTTTAAACTGTTTAATATGGGAAGGGGGGAACCTGTTCAAATAATCCTGGGTAGAGGGCTCCAGGAGGAATATCTGTTCCTTGTAACTACTGCTTTAAAGGATTATATGTTTCGATTCTTTCAAGAAGTGTTTATTCTTTCAAACATAGATTAGATAGTTTTCTTTTAGGAAATAACATTATGAGATATAGTGTATAGGTAGTTTGGGTCACATGTGAAGGGGGGAGGGAATGGAAGGCGAACTAGATGGGCCTTGGTCTTTTTTCATTGAACATTTTTTATGTTCTTATGTGTGGGATGCAGGGTC